GGCCTGCGGGAGGGTATTGGCTGGAGCGGGGGAAGCGGCGGTGGCGTCTCTGCACCAGGCCTGACGTCCCCAGCGCTTCCGTGCTGCTGCAGCTGCTGGGAATAATGGAGGTTGCTGTCTCGGTGTCTCCCTGCCTCACTGTTTACAATATGGCGACCTTCCTTTAAATTATATTTTTATTCTCAGCGCCATTTTGGCTGCATATACGACTTCCAAACCCTCGCCGCGCTCCCCCAGTATCTCAAATGTGAAAATACCTTCCCTGTGGAAATCCAGGGCCTCCAGACTTTAAAATTGGCCGGGTTTATTCTTTTCCCTCCTTTTTTTCTTCCTCCTGACTCTTCGGACCTGCTTGTCTCATCTGTGGGAGTGACTGCCGTGAACTGGGGGCAGTCGGGTCCTCTTGCTGAGAGTTGTGTGGCTTTGTTGATGAAGGCAGATCTTTCTGCATGCAAATCTGGGGGCCGTGTGGGAATCGAGGTGCGTGTGGAGGCGGTGGCAAAGCTCTAGTGTCGGTAGAGGCTGCAGCGGGGAAGGACTCTCGCTGCCTTCCCTCGCAGCTTCCTAAGCTCTCGGGCACAAAGCGATCCGCTAAAGGCACCTGAACTTTCCGCCCCAAAGTTTTTTTTCTGTTCTGCACCGGGAGCCCGGATGCATTTGAGGCCGCCTTACCCAAATCTCCCCTTCAACAGTTGACACAGGCGGGCGGTTTGTGTTAAATTAGCGCAGCCAGAGTGGATAATGGAGTGGAGGAGGGAGTGGGGCAAGTCAAACAGCTGGAGCTCGGGCGTACAGAGTATTCTTCCTTAGGGGAGATTTTTTAACCACATTCCTTTCTCTCTTTCATGCTTTGGAGCTTTGTTTGCCACCCTGTTACAGCTGTCTCCTCTTTGCTTTTTTTTTTTTCTCTTTTGGTTTAGTTTTTTTTCTTCTTTTGCTTGGTGGTTATACTGCGTTTATATGCTAATTGCAGGTCTCTGAACACTTATTAAGCTGATTGCTGATACCAGGAAAACTGACTGTGCGGTCACAGTTCTGTAGGGAGTGTCCCGTTAGCAGCGTATAGCCGGATGAACCCGACAATGCTGTAGTGTGCGGCCATGACATCATCCCTCCTACCCTGAGGAAGTGCTACTGGTGGTAGTGCAGATCCTCTTCATATTTACTAGGAGGGCACTAATTTTTTTTTTTTTTGGTCCAGCCTTCTTGGTGAGCTTTAATTTAAGTTTGGGGTTTTTTTCTTCTTATTGGGCGTAGATGCTTAAAACTCGGCGTTTGCTTTCAGATGCTGCCAAACACATCCTGAGCCTTCTCTTAGCAAGGCTGGAGCGATGGCTAAAGCTTCACATTTTGAGATGGAAGAGCTGTGACTAACGCTGTAGAGTTTCCTGGTTGACTCTGAATCCTAGTTAAATCTAACCATAAATGAGACCACTTTGTGTGCAGCAAAATTTCATGGCTTGATTTGGCAAGTTTCTTGTAGTTAGTGAGTGGGAAGCAGTCATGTAAGTCAGATGTCTGTAAAGCTTTGGCTGTACCTGAGTTAGTTGCGTTATTTTAAAAAAAAAAATCTTTGGCTAACTAGTCAGCCTTCAGAACAGAAATGGACAGGGCAATTCTGATTATACCTTCTTACTTTATTTGTTGCATTTCCTGGGGTATCGCTCAGGCGATCCTTTTGACAGTAGCCCAAACCCTGCTGCGGGAGGTGGCACAAGTCTGGAGTGGTGCAGCAGCCCAGCTGCCTGCTGATGGATCGATAGGCTTCGCCTAAAGGCCTCCGGCTTGGGCCCGGTTCTGCCTCGGTGCTCATGGACCTCTGTCCATTGCTTGGCCAAGGCCTTCAAGTGAACCAGGTTGTTTCGGAGCGATGCTCAGGTTTTGTTTTTGTGTTTTCTTCCCTTTACCTCCTAGATCTTGCTTAAAGTAAACTTCCGTTCTGGATATAAACTTAGGCGTAAAGGCAGCACTTGCAACTTCCTTTCTGCCTCCTTTTTTTATTTAAAGAACAGCAGCTGTAACGCAATGCTTGTTTTAAGTCATTTGAACAGCAGTTTAAATATACTGCTGGGGCATAGTAGCTGAATTGTGTGGACAGCTTACCTGTTCTTTAAATATTTCTTGTAAGCTTTAGTACCAGGTTGCATTTATTATCAATACAGCAAAAAAAAAAAAAGGGGGGGGAGGGGGGAGAGAAGACCAGCTCTTTGTCGGTCTAGGATTTGTAATCAGTTGGGTAAAGCTGTGTAGTAGAGGCCATATTATGAAACAAAATGAATGATAAGGGTGTGATTAGCCCAACTCAGCAGTAGGCTGGAGACAAACTCAGGAGTTAACCCAGCTCAGTGGCCCATAAACTAGTTCTGTTTCTTCCTGTGTGGAGAAGGCTCTTCTGTATCGTGGTGTTTAAACCTGTAGCGAGCAAGTTGGCTTCATTAGGTAAGTGCGGTTCTCAAACTTCAGCGGTTTGCCTTAACTTCAGTTCAGTACCTAAATGCGTTGTCTTTTGCAGAAAGCAGAAGGCGCTCAGCCAAAACCCCCAAGACTTTGAGTGATAGTATTACATGTCTTTGATGGTAAATAACAAGTTTTGTTGATACACTGTGGAACAACTGCTCTCCTGAATTAACGTGGGTGGAAGCGACTTCCCAGTTCATCTGTCAGGGTGTCAGCTCTTCTCACAACTCTGTTTCAGAATTGCTAGTTCGGCGTAAAACTCCTACAGGTACCGTAAGAGTCCATGGACCAGGAGGATTACCAGCCTGGCTGCAGATAAACTGGCTTGGTGGGAGGGATACAGGAAAGTGGAAAATCCCTTCCAGATACTTAGTTTCAACATACTTGGATGAATATCATAGTCCGGTGACTGTCTTCAGGTTTGAATTTACAGAGGGGTTTTTTGCCATCCTTAATAATTCTTGAAAACAGAACATAGGATTTTTAGCTCTTAAATCTGCTTTTGGTTATGCCATTTGCCCATAATCTGCTACTTTGGGTAATGGTGCAGTTTGCGTTTTCGTTCTGGTGTTCTGCCTCAACCCAGGCCCCTGGGAACGGTGTACACTCCTTCTTTACATGATTAAAACCCAATTTTCCAGTACCACTTCTATTCTTTCCCCTTTATATCCTCCTTCTGGCTATGTGATTGTTAAAATTCCCTGTATTTTCTTGAGCTCATGGTAAACTTGATTCACATTGAAGTCAGTTTGCAAAGTGACTGATGGTTGCAAATTCATCACAGCTCCACTGAAGGATTAGAAAGATCCCTGGGAGAGGAAAAGTTTAGTTAACAAGCTGGGGGAGGGGAGTGACAACAGGAGGGAGAACTAACAGAACAGTTTTGTGTTTGTTTTTTCTTTTTTTTTTTTTTTAAAGTCTCACTGCTCAAGTTTCTGGTTGGAGGAGCCCAAAATCGCTAACCTTGCTGAATGCTGCTGTTCCAAGTCCCTCTTACAAATCGCGTGCTGCTGGCTGTGAAGCACTGTTAGCATGGCAAAGTGACCCGAGTTGCCTAAAGCTGACCAGCTGCCCGTTACAGTAAACGGACAGTACCAGTTTTGTGGCACTGCCCAGCAAAAAGGCTTCCCTTAGCTGCTGGGTCACCCCAGGGCCGTGCTGGGAGAGGTACACTGCATCCATACTGGGGCCTGCTAGGCAAAAATCAAACTTCATGTTTATATTTGGAGCGTTTGGCTCCATTTCCCCTCCGATTTGGCAGTTTTTGCCAAAGCGCCGTTGTCGAAGAACTGGAGTAAGAGAGCTGCAAAGAGAAGTAGATGAAGCTAAACTAGCCTGAGTTTTGCATATTTTCTATGAGTCACGTCAGTTAAGTGCTTTGCACAAAGAATGGAAAAAAGTTGTGTTTGGCTGGTAGGACATCAATAACTTTTTTCCCCACCTTATCCAGGTCCAAAGCGTCCTGCCTTCTATTGGCATTTGGTCTAGCTTTGGGTTTTTTACATAAATATCCACTCTGTGTGAGGGGAGGGAAACATTAGCCTGTCTATTGTCTTAGCTAATCCTTCCCTTAATGGGCATCTTTGGCTGCCTCGGGGGTTTCAGGTGAAACTTTGAATGGTCTGAAGCATCTGCCCTGCAGGGAGTAGCAGGATGTCTAGGAAGGTGCCAGAGAGGCTACAGAAGAGCAGGGTTTCAAAACATTGAATTACATCTGACTCTTGCACACTGGGACTTTGGACAGCTTCAAAAAAGCTTGTAGTTTTAACCGCAGCAAGTTTTTATTTTGAGGCTTTCTGGGTTTGTTTGGGGTTTTTTTTTGTTTCCATTAAATGACTGGCAGAACCCTACTTTAATGTTCAGGTAATTGCATTTTGAAGATCAGATAGTAAGCTCCTCTGTTCCAAACATTAATTTAAATGAATCTGTCCTAACTGATAGCTTGTTAAAAAAAACATATGTGTTTTTGTAAAAACAGCAACTTT